TTAGGGAACGAGGAGCAGTAAAGATGACAAAATTAAGTACCCATTTGTTATCCGTCATCAAACCACCATAAGAATCAGTGAATGGGACACACAGCACACTTAAGACAGCCCTGCATGATCAGTAAATCATATCAGCAGTACCTTAGCTATGGCTTAGTAAAACATAAATGGAAATAAATGTCTTAAACTCATAAATGGAGAGCAGTATGCATATACCTGTCCAAGAAACATGTCTGACAATTCAGGCTCTCTTTAAATGCTCCACTTCAATTGTCTCACATAGGAGCATTCTGTCATTCTAACATTAAAAAAATTGACAGAATCCTTGGAAGAGACAAGCACTTAAAGTTGCTGTTGTAAGTGATGCAGTATTATAAAGAATGAGCTGAATAGAACCCCAGAAAATAACATTTTGCATGAAAAAGGCTTCACACCATGCTAAAGAAAAATAGCCCATTAGAATGCTATACAGCAGCCACTGTAAAAAGGATGTCTTTCTTAATACCACAATATGATAAATTATCTTAAGTAGCACATTAATGTCAGAAATTGAGTATAATCTAACTTCTTTCCAGTGACAATATTAAATGGCTTTCAGACGTCTTTCCTACTATTCTGACATTAAATTTAATAACACCCAGAGAGACCACAAAAATGATTCAGTTACAAGAATCATAGTGCACTGGATCATTGCCTTTTAAGTAGGATTCAACTAAATGGTTTGGACTCTGATGCTTTTGGCACATTCAAGAGAAAGGCATGAATTTTGCTATGTAACATTTATCAGCTGGTGTGCAAAATTCCTTTCAGTATCCAGTTTGAATTGATCCCTTTTGAAGGGATCTTCCTTTGTGCAGGAGTTTGATTTCTGTTGATTATATGAAACACAGGTCCAAGGCAGGCCTGCTGTTCTAAATTGTTGCGCCTTTTTCAACTTTTCCCTGCTTGGAATTCCCGTGTGTTAACAACCCCACAAGCACCTGTGAGAGTGTATAACATTTTGCAATCTTACTAAAGAAAATTAAGCAAAAGGCTTAATTAAAGATTTGTATCACAGGACAAGTCCACACACTGCTGCTGAAATTATTATAAGCAGAAAAAATTGGTATTTCTGAAATGTAAAAGAAATTAATAAGACATTTATTTTCCACCTTCCAGAAGACTACTTGAAACAGTGAGAAATTATAAATATAAATTGCAAAAGATATTTAAGGGCTCTCTGTTGCAGTAAGTCTCTAATAACAAATCTATTCAACCATAAAAGCTCTATAGCAATTTTACCACAGAAGAACTGGATGATAAGCATGGAGATGATGATGTGAAATTAAGAATAAATTTAGATCTTGGGCTCAAATAATCAATAACTGAGTGCAAGTGCAAGAACTGGCCATCACAATATCTCCACATTCCTGCCTTGCCCAGCAGTGCTCAAAATGCACAGTAACTGCACTTGCTGCAGCCATGTAGCTTATGAAAAGCAAGAACTCAAGCCTCTTCCTTTCCCCAAATGTGTGCTCAAATGTTCAAGACAAGGTCCCACAACCATTGGCAGGACCTGTTCAGTTATTGACACCCCAGAAGAACACAAGATAGTCCAGATGCTACTTTCAATCAGTTCCTTAGATTCAACTGTCCCATCACCCAGTTCAGAACAACTTTTCTGTTGGCCCCAAAAACTATATCACATTTTCCATGTTGCTTCTGTATCTCTTTACAATGTATTGAACCAACCTTCAGTATCAGTGGATGGAAAGAATGTTAAGAATTACTACTGCAGAGACAATACAGAAAGCCAGTCATATTTGCCATTGTAAATGCTTCAACATGTACTTTACTCTAAGCTTCCAGTGTATTTGCAAGAAATGGGACTGCACAGAATGTGTCAGTACAAACAATAATTAGTCACTGTAGTATTCAGGCACTACTCATGTAGAATAAATAGTATTTTGGCACAGTTGGCATATCATTCATCTCCTCATTTCTTCATAAAGGGAGGCACATTCCTCTCACTGAAGCATCCTGGACACTGCAAGGGTTTCCAGTCTGTTCCTCTATTTTTCATTCTTGCACAACAACTTCTCCTCAGAGATGAGGGAGCAAAAGGCTGCCCCACCAGCTGTTTAACCCACTGCAACCACACAGTGACAGTGAGGGACACTGATGACAGGGGAATGATCACCCAAACCACAACAGAGTACCAACCACAGCCACAGATGCTGTGGTAGGAAAAAGTGACTACAGAATTCATCACTGATTCTGTTCCATATATGGGTATCTTATATTCATTATTGGACAGGCTGCACAAAGAAGGTGAGGAAAATGATAACCAGGAGGAATGTAAAGTAAAAAGCTGTTAGAAGAGAGACTGATGTTAACAGAGGACCACAGCACAACTTCCAGTGTTTACTGATTGTTCTCTCCACTGCTGCGATACTTAAAGCAGTGAGGAAGAAAAGTAATTACTTTATTCCTGTCACCCTCATCATGAGACACCAGCTGAGTAAAACTTGATCAGCAGAAGCCAATGAGTAGGAATTAATGGATTGTTAATGCATAGTGAGCTAAATGCCACCAAAAGCTGTCTGGCATTGTTCAGAAAAGGTGAAACTATGAATTTTTAGTACTAAAGAACACCTATAGAGGAGTGACACTTCTTCTTGGATCAAAAGTTCTAAGAATTCAGACACATCTGTGCTGACTCATAATTTTTAGAAAAAGCTGTATTGCTGGAGGGTTTTTTTTAAGGCAAACACTGATATTTATAAAGTTGCAAAAGAGGAATGTGTTAAGAGAATAATGGAGTGTTAATGCACAGTGAGCTAAATGCCACCAAAAGCTGTTTGGCATTGTTCAGAAAAGGTGAAACTATGAATTTTTAGTACTAAAGAACACCTATAGAGGAGTGACACTTCTTCTGGGATCAAAAGTTCTAAGAATTTAGACACATCTGAGCTGACTGATAATTTTTAGAAAAAAGCTGTATTGCTGGAGGGTTTTTTAAAGGCAAACACTGATATTTATAAAGTTGCAAAAGAGGAATGTGTTAAGAGACATTTAGTAGGTACTGCACATCTTACATTGTGTTTCAGAGATGGAAACTTTGGGTTTTGAGGAGCTTTAAAACTGGTAACTAGCCTATCCCATCACCATTTGGATGCTCTAAATCTCAACTCAAGAACTAAAGGGCTGATTCAATTAACAGAGAGCTCTCATCCTCTCCAGCAAAGCACAGGATTCTTCCAAATTGTGGTCAAAAAGTACTTGGTGAGAAGGACACAGCTGGAAGCCTCACAGATTCACAGAATATGCTGAGTTGGAAGGGACTCACAAGGATCATTGAGTCCCCTCACAGATTCACAGAATATGAAGGGACTGAGTTGGAAGGGACTCACAAGGATCATTGAGTGCAGCTCCTGGCCCGGCATAGGACCATGCCCAAGAATCACAACAAACAGAACCTTCAATGCTCTATGATCCTTGTAGGTTCCTTCCAACTCAGGATATTCTGCAATTCTATGTTTTTCATGTTTTCAGCCAAGAGCTAAATAACAGACATTTTGAGGGTCAACAGACAGACATATCCTGTGCTGGAGGAGCAGCTCCCACAGCTGAGCTGATCAGGCTCCTGCCACATCCTTGGAATTCTGGTGGAGCTTTTCTCTTGGAAAGTTCTCCATTCTACTCACTAATGAAAACAGCAGGGAGATCACATCACCCAAGGCATATTATCTCCTGCCCTCTGGAATCACGCACTTAATCACAGACCCAGTTAATCTGTTTGAAGACACCAGATAAACCAGAGCTTTCCATGAGGAACAAGTCATGCTGGGAAGTTCCAGCTGCCCTCAAAGCACAGGGAAAAGGCTGCAGTCTCCTGGCTACACACAGCTGCAGGCACACAAGGGCAGAGACAGTTTTATTGGGCTGTAGGCACAAGGATATACAGTCATACTTTAAAGGTCTCCCAAGGCAAAGTGCCTCAGAAATGCCAGTGCTCCCTGTTATTCCTGAGGCCACAGCCATGTACTGAGTCAAACAGTAAAAAAAGAAAACAGGCACAAAAAAAGGGTTTTGTTAAAACTCACACATAGAAAGGATCTTCCTTAGCAAACCTTACTCTACCTGGGCATGTCTAAATTACTGTGCCAGGTTTACTGCATTCCATCATTACATCCTCTTTTCTAAGACACTGGAAAAGCAGGAACAAAAAACCAATCCATTTCCTCTGTGACTTTTCACCTTCTTAAAACAGCCCAAATTTCCCCTTTATTTTCCATTAAACACAAACTCAGTTAGGAAATACGGAGTATTCTCTGTGAGCAAGTGTCAGCTCCAGGTATTCAGGCTGACAAATTCTTTATGTTAATGCAGATTTGTATAGTTACTCCAGGTGCATATTTTAGCTCTCCTGTGCACATTACATACTTCAATTCTATCTTCAAACACTAATCTCTTGTACCCTATGTAAATAAGTATTCAGACTCTGTTGTGTGGGAGATTAAACAGCTATAAATATGACTAAAGCTCCAAGTAATTGGGTTGTATTTTAATTAATTTTAGATAAACTTAGCCCAAATTTTTCATTTCAAAGGTGCTGTATTTCCTGCAGTTGGTGAGACTGCTACTCCATTTCCATACGCTTACAATGACAAGTGAAGCAGAGGGAAACAAAGCCCATCAGCACATCTCCTTAACCTCAGCAGAGAGACAGCACCAGTGCCTGAGTCCTGCTGGCAACACAGAGACTAATTGTTCCACAGCTGAAGCCTGTGTGGGCACAGGGTTTGGACCACTGGGTTTGGATGCCAAAGGAAATTTTCTCTTACTCTGCCAAGTCCACAGGAGGTAACAGCACTCAGGCACATTCAAGTGGATGTGGCTCTTTCTCTATCCCAAGACCCTTTTCCTGAGTCAATCCAGCTCTGTTCTAGGCCAGAAGCTTCCAGCCCAGTTAAAAATTGTCCAGAAAAATATTTTAAAATATTGAAATCCAAAGTTACCTTTCCAATGCCAGGGTTGTCCTTGATTTTGGACACAGCTCTCAGAAGGCATGGTGGTGCTGGGGGAGGACAGAGCTGCAGGATGCCACTGAAGTTAGTAGCATAAATAGAGAAGTCGTGTGTGTGTGGCAGGGGTGGATGGCATTTCTTTCTCTTCGAAGACAGGTTAAGCTTCTGTGCTGCTCTGTATAAAAGTAATAGCAAGAAAGGACAATGTTACTTAGGTGGTAAAAGGAAACTGAACCAGACAAACAGATGCTCATTGTCATCACTGCCTGCTTAACAAATCAAGACATTGCATTCTAATCTGATTTCATAAGAACAAGCCATCAGGATACTAATAAAGGAAATATGGGTAGAAAAACTACTGGCAAAATATTCAGTTAATTTCTCCACCAACAAAATTTCAATTATAATCTAACTTGTCTTTCTTTCCCCCAACAGCCTGACATCTGAATCCTAAAAAACTAACATCTCACAGATGTAATAAAAAACTAAAAAATCCCCTTGTCACTGGCAGAACCAGATGGACTTTGCTGGTGATAACATTATGAAAGTGGTTCTTTGTACTCTACAAGTTACTCAAGGCAGAGGACAGCACTCCAAGTCAGCCGAGCTCAAGATCCTCTCCTGTTGGCTGCACAGAAAATCCTTGGATAATAGGAAATTTCCTTCAAGACCAATTGGTTTTGCCTCCCCAATTCCATTCTTTTGCATTAAAATGGAAAGCTATTAAAAAGACACGCTTTAATCTGCTGAATGATAATGATCCTGCTTTTGAAATGTAGAATTTCAAAACATAAAAGATGAAGAAGGAGCAAAAATTAGAACATACAATTAAAATTGTAACATTCTTCCTTGTGCGTAAAAATAGGAACATAATCTGTTTTTTCTGCTATTCCCCATGAACAGCACCAAACAATATAGGCAAGAAACCAAAACAGAAACTCTTCCCTACAGGACAAAATAAAATTAATCCTGCAGAGTGATTATTTTAAGCAGAATAAAATATATGTTGGCAAGCACATGCTGGGCAACTGGGCATGGCAATGAGGGTGAAATCTCAGCTCTCTTGAAGTCAACGAGAGCTTTACCACCTGAAAAAGACACTTGTGCTCTGACCCTGACACCGTCAGTAGACAGTCCATCCACAGATAAATATCACAAAAGCATCCAAATTGTTACCTTCTGGCACTCCTTTGAATGACTGTTAGGGCAGCAAAGGCACAAGGTGCCCCACTGCCAGCATCTGGGGACATGCTGAGACCACACTGCTGATGCCAGCAGGTCTTTTGGGGACAAACTGCCATTCTGCTCCATGCTTGCAATGTAAGGGCTTGTCACTTTGAACAAATTAGTATCTTTGTAAAATGACTTTGTTTTCATCATGTCTTTCAGCCCAAGATCTCCAAGTACTTTTCAGTGAGATCAAACTGGCACTAGCATCTGTGAAGTATTATAAGCAACAGACCCATGGACAAACCAAGGCAGCGTTTTGCTGTCATAACAAATTAAGAGTAAATCTAGAACCCCAACCTTGCCATGCATCTTGTCAGCATTGTCAGGCAGCCTCGGGCTTAATCAGCTTAGTAAACTGATCAGAGAGGGAAACTGCTCCTTTGCTTATATTCATTCTGAGTTAGAAATAAAAATTAGCACCAAAAGCAGAAGGGCTGCACGGTTTCTCCCAGCTGCACTATTGACTTCAAATGAGCAGCAGTACAAAGAACTGGCTGTGTCTGAGGAGCAAAACTGGACACTTGAGTTAAAATTAGCTAGTTAGTACAACAGCAGGACTCTCAATACAGATCTCCAAAATTCCCAGTCCTTTTCTCTATATTCCAAAACTTGTGTGTGTTAAACTCCTGAACCTTTTTATTTCAACTTCCAGAGATGCAGACCCCCTACATGCTTCCTTCTCCCTCTATAAACACTGCAGTATTTAGAAGAATACAAAGATTCATGTGATGAAAAAATGAGGCTCTAATTCCAAACTCAGAGGGAGCCCAAAGGCACTGTCTTTTGAGGAGCAAGTTGGACTTCTGCCTTTGAGGAAAGAAGAAGCTTTTGACTCCTACTGCATCCTGAAACCAGCAGGAACTACAACCCACAGTGAAGCAAAATACCACAAGCATGGGTTTATACAGAACCTCAAGAGTCTGGTGGCAATGAGAACTGATTTAACTGCCTGAATCTCAAACCCCCTTGCTAATACTTCATTCAGTAGGAAAACATATGCTGAAATAGGACACCAGGAACACAGTTGCACAGCTTCACTGTGGTTGCAGCTGCACATTAAAACCATAATGCCTGCTAAATTATATGCAGCTTTACTGTGCAGAAAAGAGTCTCTACCTGTTGGTACTGTCATTGTGGAACTCAAGACAGTCATTAGCATCTATCTCCAAGTACCAATTAACAATCCTGCTTATTATTTAATTGTCTTGTTGATTAATATGAAAGATAATGTTTATTTTCTTGTTTACATGCTATGATCCCTTGTTGAAATTATAAAAACTCCTCAAGAGAATGTCTTCAAAGTGCAATCAAGATATACATTAAATCCTGATGAAATAATTACTCCTGTAACAGATCTGGCTGAAGGAGCTCCTTTGGGAAACATACATGAAAGAGAATGAGATACAAAGAACAAATTTACTCAGGAATTGTGTGTTCAAGCAGCTAAGCACTACACTCAATGAGTAACTGCACCCAAAAAGGCCAAGCTAAGCAAGGCATATAAAAAATGAACAGAAAATGCCACTTTTTAGAAGTACAGCATTTCTCAAAACACCTCGGTAGCACATTTGTGGGACATTTTGATAAGCAGATCCAAGATACTGAATCTGTTACTAATTGCCTTAACTTCTGCACCAAGACAGAACCCTTTCAAACCAGTTTCACTATGATGGTGTGTGTAACCTTCCTGTACCTCCACTGTTCAAAGGACAGTGGCATATGCTACCAAAAGCAATTAACTGCTGTAGTGCTGATAAATCCTCTTCCTGTGAGTCTGGAGGGCGATGATTTTACTAAGAAATTTGGCAAAGGGACTGTTGATGTCCATGTGAGATAACAGGAAACTGAAAGGAGAGGAACTGGAGTAGCTGTTGTAGAAAATAATCAGTGCTTTGATGGGCAACCAGCCAACTGCACTAATAATGATGTGTGTGGTTCACAGTTAAAAAGCATCTCTTGTCAGGTAAAAGTGCACAAAGCTTAATTACAACCTCTCTGTGCTTGAATGCAAGAATTGCTTTGTCTGACATTAAAACAAGGTTATTTCTGGAGTTGGAACACCACGGACAACTTGCAAAAGCAGTATCAAACAGCTTGCTGGGTTTGATTTTGTTTGTTGTTTTGGGTTTCTTTTCTAAAAGGGAAAGGCTAAGGATCTAATTGAAAGCATAGGGCAATTTAGGCAAAACAACACATCACTATCAAACTGTAGACTATGAGTATGAATTCAAGTAATAGTCATCCTCAGCTCCTATAAAAAGCACAGTCAGTTCTTTAACAGAAAGCCAGTTGGGCAGCCTCTTTCACATGCTCTGCTTGGGCTCCTGGACAGGTCCAGGCAAAGAGCACAACACAAACACTCATCAATCCCTATGGACTTCTTGCAGAACAAACAATACACTTGGTGGCATGCCAGCCACCTACTCATTAGGCCAAAATATAGGCCAAGCTGGTCTGGACATGGGCCCAAATAAACCAAGCAAAACCTAACTTCACAAACCTCTTTACTTCAGTAAAATCCATGAGAGGATGCATTTCCATGGAGCCAGTCCTGAGACACTCCAGAGTGCCAGACCTTCTGCAGTCCCTATCCAACAACACATTCCTGAATTTACACTTAAGTTTTCAGTTGTGTCTTTTCTCCAGAATTCCTTTTCTCAGGGGGAATTTGTTCCATGGAGATGTTGTCAAAGCTCTCCTGAACTGGGCCCTTTTTGCCTAGCACCAGAAAGAACTCGAGCTCACACCAGACCACTGTCTGAAGGGAGCCTAATTTGGTGCCATTTCCATTGCCTGACCTACTTCTTTTTCTCAAATTTAATCTTGCACAGGAGGCCCTCACACACACTTTCAGCACCACAATGGGCTGCCTGACCTTGTTCAGTATCAACTTCTGTTTCCTCAGGGAAAATTATGACCTTTAGGGAATTCTACACAAAATGTAAGCATTACAGTCATTTGGCATGTGCCAAACATTTGTCATAGCTCTGTTAGAGTTTTACACTTTCCACCTATCTTCTCCTTCCCCATTCAGCCTTCACAACCACTCTTCTACAAAACACTCTCACAAGGGAAACTAAGCCCTACACTCTCACGCTTCTCTTCCAATTAAAGCATGAGAGACATCCAGGGATATTGCTTTTACCTCCAGCTGTGAGATCTACTGTCTGCATTTTGCTTAACTCTTTCCCTCTTTAATAGAAGATGTCTTTAAAGACACTCTGGAGAGTTCTTTCCTCATAGCAAGGCGTCACGGTAGAAAATAAAACTAATATATGGCACATGCAGGGGCACTCAAATACCAAATGACAAGGGACAGTCTCTAACCTGCTCTTTCCCCCACACGATTTACAGATTACTAGGTTTTCTGCTATGCATGGATGAGACCAGCGAGGAAAACCACAGCCAGATCAATTACATAATGCTCAACACCTAGGGAACAAGACTGTGCAACAACAGCAGCTACAAAGCCTGCTAGATGAAATGCCATTTTTAATTTTAAATTCTGCCTATGTTGTTAGCATGACATTTCAGATATTCTGATGTACAGCAAGCTGCTGCTAGCTTACACTCCCTGCACACATTCTGCACATTATAGCTGTGAAAGTAAACAGCACAGTTTAAATCCCTAAAGCACTCCTTCTGAGCATAATTTCTCCACAAAAAAAAAAATAAAATTAGATTTGAAACTTTCATAACTATGCAAAGTGATAAAAATTTTTCTTAAAACTTTGTGAATTTTCTTTACCTTCAGAAGGAAAAGAGCTATGAAATATACTTTGGGACATGTACTACAAATGAGTCAACTGAGATAAAGTCAGAGGACTTAATGGACACAGTACATTTATGGACAAAAGTACATTTTCTGCCACAAGTCAGAAACAGATCTGCAACTCCTGCTTCCCATTATTAAGCTCCACTGACAAGAATAATAAAAGAAAACTT